GGCATCTGCCTCATAGTTAGTTCTCTTTGCACCAGCCTCATGCTGCAGTGTGAGGGATGGCACATGTTCCTACCTGGTCTTTGGGCAGGGTGGGGTCTGGGCAGCAGGAGGGTGGCCCACCTACCCCACCTTCCCAGAAGCACCTCCTAGCCCCAAAGATGTGACTGGAAGCAGAATTCCAGAGAAAGGCCAATCCTGGTCAGCCACCAGGACATGCTGGTTGTTGCATCAGAGCAACCTCAGGAGAGCTGTGGGGCCCAAGGTCACACAGGAGACTCCAGACTCAGCTCTCCCACCTGCCTCCACAGCGCACCTGGCCAGGAACCTGGGAGTGGCCCTAGTGCCCACCCCACCTTTCCCAGAGCCCTGCCAAGTTCCCTCCCCCACGCTCTCCATTGTTTGCCCTGGTTGAGGCTTTTTTGCTCTTCCAGGACACATTCANTGGCGGCGGCGGCGGAGCCGGGGGCGGCGGGTCGGGATGGCCTCCGACTCGGAGCCGGGGCCCGGGGTGAGGGCTGCCGGCTGGAAGGGCGCGGTCCAGTCTCGGAGCATCCCGGCCGCGAAGGAGTTAATGATCTGGTTTGCAGAAACGTGGGTACCGAGCAAGGGTGGGGACTCAGCCCGGGACCTCTTCTGTCTCTGGTGTCAGGCCCAATGGGGATGAATGGGGGCGTTGGCGACAGCGAAGGGCGTGGGATGCGGGGCTTGCCCTGTGCTGTGTCCCCCCCCCCCCAGTGGGTAGGGCGATGTGAGGAGGCAGCCAAGCACCCCACTCCTGCAGCTTGAGGGCCCCTGCGGGGCTCTGCTGAGGGACTGGCGGCACCCCCTCGCTGGCACTCCTCATTGGACCCCTCCCCTACCTGGTGTGAGGTCCTTAGAGTGGGGGCTGGGGGCCCAATTGCATGCTCTACCTGGAGAGTAGCCCCCTGGTGACCCAAGGGGCTGTCTTGCTGATGTCCACAGTGCCAGTGCCGCAGGCTGCACACACGTTTCCTTGCACGTGCATGTGTCTACCAGGGCTGCACACTTGCATACCATGTGTGCAGACACTGCCAGGCTGCCCCAGTGTGCACGTGCACACATGCTGTGGGTGCACACCCGCATTGTCACCCCCGCCTGCATGTCTATGGCACACATTCATGCACATAGCATGCCTGCTGTGGTCTCTACACTTGACACATGCTGAGGCCCCTCAGCAGGACCCACTCCTGTGCCTACATGCACATATGTTGAGGGGGAGGCTCTGGGCAGCTGGAGCTCACAGATAGAGGAGGCAAGTAACCAGCTACAGGAGCCTGGCCCCACCTCTGTCCTCCTACGCCCCAAGTCCTGGGAGTCTCCCCTTCACAGCCCCTCAGGCCTGTGTGTGTGTAACTTGGTATGCATCTGCACATGTATGTCTGCATCATGACTGTATGTGCCTGTGGACACATGAGCATGTGTCTCTTTGCCTCCGGGTGTGGGTGACCCTGTGTGCCCAGGTGGGCTGTGGCCAGGTTCTGCCCAAATCTGGGAATGAGTGTCGGGGGCTAGTTCAGCACCCCAGCCCAAGGTGTGAGGTGAAAGGGCTCCCAGACACTCCTCCCCATCCCCCATGCTGGGGCAGGGTCTGGGACTTACCTGGGCAGGGAAGACCCATTTCAAATCTGGAGGTCAACACCTTGACGAACAGACAAGACAATCCCCCACCCCATCCCCTACACACCACACTCTGCAGTGACTGCAGCTTAGCCCAGTGGGGGCAGGTATGTGCCCACCCTGGCTGACCCAGGGTGACCTCAGGAAGGCTTTGCCCGTGGTGTCTCAGTCTCTCTATAATGAGGGGTTTTGTGGTGTGTCACCTGCCTCAGGTGCTGTGTGGGGCTCTGAGATAAGGGTGTTGGTAACCCAGTCTCACTGTGGTGAGGAGGACACCAGGCCAGGGCTCAGAGAGACGGGGCCACACTGCCTGCTCCCCTGCCACCGTCGGTGTCCTTGTCTGTGGAATGGGAACAAGCGGGTCATCCTTATATATAGGGTGTACGGGGGTGAAACAGAGGAGTGGGTCCCATGATGGGGAGACAGTGGGGCTGGCCACTCCCCTTTGTTTAAGCCTGTCCTTCCATCTGTAAATCAGGTACTGGCCCCTGTCCCCCTCTTGTCAACAAGATGAAGATGAAGCAAGCTCCCACTCAAGGGCCAGAGCTAGGTGGTAGTTCCTAGCTCCTGGGTGTAGAGTGGCAGGAGAACAATGGCCTAGATTTGGATCCTGGCTCAGCCCCTCATCAGGGGTATGACCTTGGGTGTGACTGTTTACCTCTCTATGCCTCAGTCTCCTCACCTGTAACATGGGCCAGTAATCAGGCCTTTCTCCGGGGCTGTTGGGGGCACCTCAAAGCTGAGGCCCACGTGGAGTTTTGACCTCAGTGCTTCTACCTTCAAAATACCAAAAAAGACCACCATCTCCCCCGCAACTACCACCTCTCACTCCCCATCGGTGGTTCCCAAGTAAGGAAGTCCTGGAACCTGTGCACTGCCAACCAGATCCCTCCTTCTTACCCATTTGCAGATAGGGAAATAAATCCCCTAGGGGTCACAAGGGAGTTGGAGAGGGGGGACGGGCTGGTGGAGGAGCAGGGAGCAAGAGAAGGCACCATGAGAGGTAGGAAGTGGCCACCTACGTGTTTCCCAAGCTGGGGCAACATCTCTGCTCTGCCCCTTACCAGCGGGGAGCCTGCAAAACCCCAGAGCTTCTTTTTCTCACTACTTGAGGATTAACAGCCAGCTGGAGTCCTGCAATCAGGACTGGCCTTCCCTGTGGTCCTGGATGAGAGGTAGGGGAGAGGGCCCAGGGAGGAGAGCCTGGCCCAGTGGGTCTCAACAAGCAATAGGGCTTGTTGGGGGGCGGGCAGGGGGCGGGGGGAAGGCTGTGGAAGACCCCTCAGCACAGGAAATCCTGTTGTCCTAGGGGGCCGAGGGCCGGCCGGAGGCCTGTGCTGCCATGGGTGCCTCCCCCAGGATCTCTGACTCCTACCTCACCTTCTTTAAGTTGCCCCCAGGCCAGGGATGCAGACAGTGAGGGACCCTCCTTGGTCCTTTTCTGGCCTTGAATTCATAGCATGGATACCTCTGGCAGCTGGTGTAGCACCAGGAGGGTCCTGGCTGGTAGAAGCGGAAGGAGCCCTCCCCCCGCCCCCCAGGGCCTTGGCTCCTGCTCTCCTGGCCTGTGGCCAGAAAGTCTCCACGGTGCCTCTGTCTGTGCATCCGGAAAGGGTCAGGAGAACCAAGCACGAGGAAGGAGTTCCACGATGAAGGAGTGAACTGATTGAATGAGTGAATGGTGTGTGAGGGAATAAGTGTGTCAGTGAGTGTAGAAAGGAGGGAATGTGTGAGCAACACCCCTTTCTTGAGGACCCTTGGCTGTGCCTGGTCAATACCATTCATGCTGCCCCACCCCCAGCCTGGTGATTGACAGCTGACCCTGGGGCAGGGCTGCCTGACCCTCTGTGGCCACCCAGGACCTGGACCTCAAGATCCATAGGAGACTGCCTGGCTGCCCCACCCGCAGCCGTGCCCCCACGTGTCCTCTCAGGGCCCAGCCTCTGCAGCCTCTATACCCCTCAGTGTCCCTTGTCCGGTGGCCTGGCTGCTTGTGTACCCTCTGTACAGACACCGTATTTGCTCACTTAGACACCCATTCATTCTCTCATTCACTTGTTCATTCATTTATTCATTCATTCATGGCCTGTCAGACCCTACCTACCCTGAGTCTGGCAATTAAAGGGATGTGATACTTGGCCTCCTGAGTTTATAGGACTAAATACTTTAAAGGGCAGGTGGTCACAGAGCTGTAAATGCAAGCCCAGCCAGAAGGTGGGCACACTGTCCACATGTCTGCATTTTCCTGGACCATCACTGGAGCGCGTGGGCCCGGCCGGGTCCCACCATACGGGTGTTTTGTGCTGCAGTTTCTTCTTTTGTCACTGTATTTTAAACATTTTGCACATCAG